AGGTTTTTTATTGCCCACGCTTCCTTTTGTCACATGGAATCGTTGAACAATTTGTAAATTTAAACTTGAGATAATATAGTTATTACTAAATAATTTAAAAAACTAATTATATCACTGTAAACTAGACTAAATTACAAAACTTTTGATATATAACTTATAAATAAACCCTAAAAAAAAACTATTAAAATTAATTAAAGAAAACGATATGACTAAAAGGCTTGTCAACCATGGAACACCAGCGCCCTCTTTTTCTTATTATTATTATTATTATTATTATTATTATTATTATTATTATTATTATTATTATTACTATTATTATTTTTATATAAATCACAATTATTGAAATGTAAAAACTTTTTTTTTCTTTTTCTTCCTTTTTTTTTTTTTTTTGCTGTCGTGGAGTTGATAAAACTCAATTTCCGGTTTTCCTATTATTATTATTATTATTATTTTATATATTTTTTTTTTCACACGACTTGAATTTTTCAACAGCAGACGATATTTATTATTAAAAGAACCGTAAAATAAACACAAGCCAGAAAAAAAAAACTCTAACGGAACAAATTGGCAAACGAGAAACTGGAAAAGAGAGAGAGAGTGAGAGAGAGAAAGAATAAAATAATAATAATAATACTACCGATGATGATAATAATAACAAAAAAGAATGAAAAGAAAAGAAAAGAAAAAATCGTAAAAGAGAAAAAAAAACGAAACAAATACATAAAAATAAAAAATTGATCGCGCACTGTATAAAAAAAAAATGGTTGGTAGAAAAAGTCAAAGGATAACTCTCAAAGCTAAACGACGACCACGATGATGATGATAATAATGGTAATACGTATGAAAAATAAAAAGGACAGAAACAAAAACTACGACGATGACGACGATGATGAAGACACACAAACAAAATTTTCCGTCCGATATAAAAAATTCAAAGAAAAACGAAATTCTAGCAGACGATATTTTGCCGCGCGATCGTTACAATCAATCATCATCATCATCATCAAAATTTTTTTTTTTTAATAAATAAATAAATTATTTACGAATTTTCAAATTGTTGAAATAGAGAGAGATAAACAGAGATAAAGAGAGAGAGAGAGAAGGAAAAAAAGAAAAAAGTTCACTAATCGAAAAACAAAAAACGGAAGCGAATCGACGATTAACCGGAAATTAACGTCATATCGAAGGATTAATTTCAATCGAAATTTTTTTTTTTCCTCTCTAATTTATATATAAGCGCGAAATTTTAATTTCGTCAAAGGTTTAACTAATTACACGTAAATCCAACGGTATTATTATTATCATCATCATCAGATGATGTTCGTTCGAAAGGCGATCGAGTAATTAAAAAGTAATAAAAAAAAAAAAATGGAGTAAATTACCAGAATGATTTTTACGTTTCGTTAATGACGTCACGGATTCACGCAACAACCGTTTATTGAAAAACAAAGAATGGAAAAAATGGAGAAAAAAAAAAAAAAAACAAAAACTGGTTTTTCTTTTTCATTTTTTGTTTTTCCGAGACAAATTCAAACAAAATAAATAATAATGATAATATTAATAGAATTTAATGTTCGCGTTTACATCCGCGGTTTTAATAATAATAAAAAAAATAATAATAATAAATCGAATCAATTTTTAATCAACCGTAAAATAACAAAAAAAAACGATACCGCGGTAATAAAAATACTCCTCAAACCGTAAAAAAAAAAAAAAATACGCGTCGTCAACGCGAGAAACGAACCACGACCCCGGCAACGGTTGTCATTGCTGCCAACCGAAAACTTAAAAAAAAAAAAAACAAAAAAAAAAAATTTTTTTTATTCACGTTATCATCGGCGGTAGCAAACGTAACGACGTAATTAATATTATAATAATAATAATAATTTATCTTTTTATTGCGGGGGAAGGGAGGGGAGGAGGTCGGAAAAAAGACACTTCCGTTTTCCCTGATTCCATTTCCGCCCTCTCTCTCTCTCGAGAAAAACTAAATTAATTAATTAATCGAGTGAGCGAAAAATAAAACAAGAAAAAGAAAAAACACCGACGAAGTCATAGGGGAGGGGGGAAGGGGGAAACGCGGCGTTAAATGGGGGGCAAGTGGGAGGGGAAAAGACATCGAAACGAAATAAATTGTCTAATTACTCTCAAAGGCAATTTTTAATCCGAGAAAAAAAGAAAAAAAAACGAAACAAACAAAACGAAAAAAAATAATAAAAAAAAAAAATATGGCGGAAAGAAAAATGAGAAAATGTTTCGAAATTCCATTATGTCGGTTAATTTAATTATAACCCCATTTTTTTTTGTTCCTTTTCTCTTTCTCTCACTCACTCTCCTTCTCCTTCTCTTTCGCTTTCTCTTTCTCCCCGTACCCGATTTCAAATCGACGTCATCACGATTATAAATTTCAAACCGGAAATTTTTTTTTTTTTGTTAACCGTTACTCTTTTCGGGTCCCCCCAATTTCTCCCTATCTTTCTCTGTCTCACATCAACCCTTTCTATCTCTTTCTCTCTCTGTAATCTTTCATTTCCTCAATCGTTTGCATAACGAATACTAAATAAAAAAAAAAAATTTTCTTTTTGAGTGAATAACCTCGAGGTAAACGAAAAAGGTTTTCACGGTCTCCCGTTGAATAAAAAAAAAGGAATTTCTTTTCTTCCTTTCCTTTCCACGTGAAAAAAAGAAAAAAACAAACGAAAAATTTTTTCAAATTAAAAAAAAGAAAATTCGCGGAAAAAGAAATGTGAAAGTAGAGAGATATCCCGATAAGAGAGAGAGAGAGAGAAAAGAGGTACGACGAAGAAAAAGAAGAATAAGGAAAAACGACAAAAACGAAAAACGTCGGAAAACGAAATGAAAAAAGAAAAAAAAAGAAAAGAAATTTTCCGAGGGGAAAAAAAAACCTGATAAATTTTCATGCTCAACTCAGTTTTCAATCGTGCAAAAACTTTCAAGCACAAAACTTATTTTATTTTAATTGAAATACTTTTCTTTTATTTTCTTTCATTTTTTTTTAAGTAAAAAGAACATTCTGGAAAAAAAAGAAAAGAAAAGAAATGGAAAGAAAAAAAAAAACTCCCAAACGAAAAAGTTTCCCGTTATTGTTCGAAACCCCGAAACATTAAAAAAAGAAATAATAAAATAAAATAAAAAACTTTCGTCTGCTTTAAATTTTTACATCTCTATGAATTTTTTTTTAAATATAAAAAAAAGAGAGAACGAACGTACATGAACGTGTACCCTACGATTTTTTTTCTTTTTTTAAACACGACGGATATTAATTAAGTTGGCACCCTTGGTTTAATTACGCCCGCATTAAGGAATCGACGATCGACTCCTCCTCCAAAGAGAATCGAATTCTAAAATGATCGTAACGAATCAAATGATTACAATTAAATGACTCCGTCATTTTAAAATAAAACAAAAAAAAATTATTCGTTTAAATCAGAAAGTAAATTGATTTCTCCTCCCGTATTCAAAATCATTTGATAATAAATCTTTTTACGTTGAAAATAAAAAATTTACAATAAAAAAATGGAAAATCGTAAGTTTCTAAAATTTTCCGTATATTAATTCCAAAATTCGTTATTCTCCGGTATTTATACCTATAATTTGTTTTATAAAAATATCAATAGATGTCACTGAGCGACGTAATTTTTTTTTTTTAATTAAAAAATTTTTTTTTTATAAAAAAAAACCTTCGGGTTGAACGTGGAACAAGACTAATTTATTTATTGTTGTGAAAATTTTCATCAACGAACTGTATATTTCCGTTCTTTTGTTTTTCAAAACTAAAGATTATTTAATTAACGGTCCCTCTGCTATTGAATATATACTTTCCCCCCTCCCCACGGCCTAAGGCACGACTCTTTATTTAAAAAAAAATTAATTAATTAATTATGATAATTAAAAAAAAGTTTTTTCCTTTTTTCCTTTTTTTTTTTTTTGATGCAAAAAAAAAGCGAAACGTTTTTTTTTTTTTTTTTTTTTTAAAAACTATCTTCAAACAAAGCCAATATAAAAATAATAATAATAACAAATCAAATCAAATTATAACGACAAATTATACAAAAAAAAAAAAAAGAAAAGTGAAAAGTGAAAAAAACATTAAAAGTAAAAGAAAAGTGTACAAAAAAAAAAGTTTTCATCTTGAAAATCCATTTAATGAACTCCTCTTTTTTTTCTTCCATTTATTTTATTCCTTTGACGACGAAACAAAATCTAACGTAAAAAAAAGTTTTTTGCACGGAATTACAACAACGACTTTTCTCTCTCTCACTCTCACTTTTCCGATTAATATATATATATATATTTTTTTTCGAATAGTTCGATAAGAAAACGTTTTTTCAACGATTTATCGAACGATATATCGATTGATCGATCGAATCATTCCGATTAAAAATTAAATTCTAATTTAAAAAACACAAAAATTATTTAATTTTTTGTTCTTGTAACGGAAAAACAAAACACGCAAGCGTAAACGGGCCGCAAAATAAGTAAATAAATAAATTAATTAATTACGAAACCGGAAATTGATTCGTCTACAAAACATTTCCACGTTTTTTTAAAAACGGAAACGCTTTAAAACATTATGTAAATGATATGACGACGATTGGTCTGAGAAGAAATCTTTTTTCGAATCCTTATCAAACAAACAAATAAAAAAAAAAGAAAGAAATGTTGTTGTTGTTGTTGGCACCCCTGTCGGAATAAAACGGAAAAAGTATATGATGATGCGATGGAGGTGGAATCCATCGCCATTTTTATATCAAATTTCATCTGAAATTTTAATGTAATCTAATCGTCGTGTAGTAGTAACATTTTAAATTTTCCTTTTCCTTTTTTTTTATTACCGGGTTGTAAAAAATTTTCCTTTTTTTTCTTTCCTTTTCTATTTATTTTTTATTTTATAAATTATAATATAAAAAAAAATAAAACAACGAGGAGGAGAAGGAAAAACGATAATAAAAAAAAGTAAAATAAAATTGAAAAAAAAATTTGAACTTCGCGATCATTAACATGCGATTAAAATAAAACGAAATTTCTCAGTACGACAGCAAAAGCAACAGCAGACAGCAAAAAAAAGGTGGCATAAAAGATAAACAGTAACAGTAACAACAACAACAACAACAAAGTCATAGAATAAATAAAAATGCGGTTATACATAATAAATGAGAAAAATTAAAAAAAATTTTTTTTTTTTATAAATAAATAAAATAAAAATAATGAATGAATTTGTAAATAAATAAATAAATAAATAAATAAATAAACAGTAGAAAAAATAAATAAAAAATAAAATAAAATTAATAATAAATAAATAGAAATAAATAGTGCATAACGTACCGAACAGAGTAAACAGAGCATCAGGGGTGACCATCTAGAGAAAAGAAAAAAAAAAAAAAAAAAAAGAGCAACAGATTAGTTGTAAATAAGTAAATAAAATAATAAATAAAAAAGCTAGCGGCAGCAGCAGCAGCAGCGGCAGCGGCAGCTACTTAAATAATAATAATAATAAACAGATAAATAAATAAAAAAAACGAATTGCGAGAAAAAGATGGCGAACGTTTTTCATTTTTTTCCTTTCCTTTTCTTTTTTTATTTTATTTTTTTTTTACGTATACGTATCGTATAAATTTAAACGACGATGATGATGATGATGATAATTGCGATAAATAATAATAATAATAATAATAATAATAATAATAATAATAATAATCAAACGTCAAAATAAAATAAAATAAAAATAAAAACTTTTTTTTTCCTCTTTTTTTTTTCGCTATTAAAAATTTGATTTTTATTATCATTATCATTATCATTATTATCATCATCATCATCGTCATTATTTATTTTGTTGCTTTCTTTAGAGCCGTTGTTTTTTTTTTTTTTATATCCTTTTTTTCTTTCATTTATTATTATTATTTTCTTTTCTATCTTTTCTCTCTTTTTTTGCATGTTATCAAAAATAAATAAATAGAGACTTAAAAAGTCGAAAGAACGAGAAAGTTAAACAGTTAGAAAGATATTTGAAAGGACGGATAAATAATAATATAGATTATCGTTGTTTAGGAAGAGTGAGAGAGAGAGAGAGAAATGAAAGGTCACGACCCGAAAGAAAGCAAACAGGGAATCGCACGAATACGTACGAAAAATATAAATAAAAAAAAACAGACAGTTAAAAAGTACTCAAGATTACGAAATGATTATTTATTTATTTATACGTAGTTTAAAAGTGATAAAAATAAATAAATAAATAATCATTATTATCAATAAATAAGTAAATAAATAAATAAATAAAAGCGAACACATATGTATTTTATATTTAAAAAAAAATGTATTATCGACACATATGTGAACTGTTAATTAAATCGACTGACTTACCCTCGGCGAAACTAAAGTTTGTGCGTGTGTGGAAGGGAAAAGGGGAGGAGGAGGAGGAGGAAGGGAGAGAGGAAAGGATTTCCTGTTGCGATCGACTGGAAATAAGGAAAAGTTTTCGAAAGCATCATATATATAATTCCACGACGAAAAAAATTTAAAAAAAAAAACCTACGGGATAAACAATAACGAGAACGACGACGAAAGAAAAAAATAAAAAGCAAAAAAGGAAACCAAAGTCAAAGGAAAATGAAAACATAAAGAGGAGGGGGTAAAGAGAGAAAATCAAAGGAAAAGGAAGGAAGGGAAAAGTCCAAATTGGATTTACGAAAGGTATTACAGGCTTATGTTGATCAGGTGCGATAAAAGCCAGGTCGTGACTCGGAATTAGAAATTCTCTTTCACATTTTCCTTTTTCTCCCCCCCCCCCCTCTCTCTCTCTCTCTCTCTCTCTCTCTCTCACAACCTCAGCTTTTTTTTTCTTTCCTTTGAGCTCCTCCCCCTCCCTACATCCGGCACCTCATCGCTTTCCTTCCCCATCGAACTGCTACGTTTTATTTTCATTTGTATAGTCCTCATTTTCTCACCGTCATTATTATATAATTTTTGACAATTCAAACAGTTGAAATGAATTCAAAAAGAGAGAGGGGGAGAGGGGAGGGGGAGAGAGAGGATAAGAGATAAAGTTGCAACAAAACTCGACACATCGACCATAAACCCCCCAGAATTTTGCACACACGTGGATTTATCACAAAAAAAAAACCATCCGACAAAGGAAAACGTAAATAAATAAACAATAAAATAATTAGCGGGCCTTTTTATTCCACCGGCCTCCCTCCCTCCCTCTCTCTCTCACCCATCGCCACAGCTTCCGGTCACCGTTCCTCCCCCTTCCCTTTTTTTCCCACCCGATGGAAAAATTAATTAAATAAAATGTCGAGCCTTTTTCTTCCTTTCACCGCCACCGCCTCCCTTCTTCCCGTCTTCTTTTTATTTTTAACGTTTTCCTACCGCCCCCTTTCCCATTCCACCCCACCCCCCTTTTCCGCCATTATTCTTTTTCATCTCTGAACGATGCATTTATTTGCATTCGTTAATAAAATAATTTTATCGAACCGAACGATTTTATCACCTGTACGATTCTCACAGCCTTCTATTATTATTATTGTTAATACCAAATGACTAAAAGGTATTTCCAACCCCCCACCCACCCTGAATCGGTTAATGTTTACTTTCCGTCGTCTGCTTTTTAATTTTTTTTTTTTTAATAAAAACTTTCCAATAATAATAATTATTATTATCATTTTCCAATATTAACATAAGTTTGATGACGTCAAATATTATGGGAAAAATTTTTTTTTTTACCTATAAAAAATTTTTAAAACTTGAATTTTTTTTTTTTAAATTTTCCAACCGCGATATCGATTTTTTTTTCTTTTTGTTTTTCTTCTTCTTCTTTTTCTTTGGGAAAACATTTTCTTTCTAAGAATTTTTAACGAGTCATAAATTTTCTCAAACCGGATAATAAATAAACTTCGAAAAGTAAAAAGTAAAAAAAAAAAAAAAAAATTTTTTAAGTGGAAAAAATCGTTTGAAACAATTCGTGAAAATCGTTAAATAAACAATCAAATATTTGTTTAAGTGCGTTTTCTCCCTCCCCTCCCCTTCACCGCCCCCCTAAAAAATGAAATAATCAAATCAAATTTCAAAAACTTCAACTTTTTGTTTTGTTGAAGATTTTCCTATTGCAACAAACAAAAATCTTTTTATACCCACTCCCCCCACTTCCCGACCACCTTCAACTCACTGCCGCCAAAACTCTCGTTCCACGTTTTTTTCTCTCTTTTTGGTTTTCTCCACGATCGCCTCAAGCACAGCCTTCTTTTAAACTCCGTTCGATTTCAATTCTCATCCTTTTCCTCCATTAAAAAAAAATAAAAAAAAAAAAACGCGTTTTCCACGTTTCGATTTTAATCGTTAAACGCGGAGTATTTTTTTTTTCTTCACAAAATTGCGACAAAACCAAAAATAAAAAGAATTTTGTCGTCGTTTATTTAACAAAAAAAAAAAAAAAACATTTTCGTTAAATTTAAAACGCAAAAAGTTTAACCGTAAATATCAATTAATTTACCCTTAATTTTATTTCCTGTAAAAAAAAAAAAAAAAAAGCCAACCACGTTAAGAAAATAAAAGGCCAGGTATTTAGTCATTAACCTTCTCCCTCTCTCCCTATCCTTTCCCCTTCAACCTCTTCCGGAATCCCATTTCTTTTTTCCCTCTCGCCCTCCCCCCTTCTTTCCACGTTTTCAAAACCGTATTCCAACCATAATTTCTCCCGCTTTCTCTTCCTCTCTTCCCTCCACTTTCCTTTTACTTTTCCTTTCTAACTTTTTTTTTCCGTTTTTCTTTGTTTTCGTTCCTTTGGGGCTTTCCGTTTTCGCCTAAAACTCGTTTCCCAGACTTTTAAATAATTAATGGGAATCGATCCCGTGGAAATCCTCGAGGCTCCTCTCTCTTTTCTTTTCCCCCATTTTTAAGGTTTCGTCCGTCGTTTTCCATTTCGATGTGTGCTTCCCCTCCCTCCATTGACGATAATAATAATAATACTTTGATTGACGGCGGCGGCGACAGCGGCGTCGGCGGTAACAACGACGATAATTTCCGTTCGATAAATTTGTAATGTTAAACTCGCAATATAAAAAAGAAAAAGCAGAAGACGAACCGGAAAATGTCGTATCCCAACCTATTATGTACTCGACGTACTCGACTACGCATCAACCCCACATTCGCTCTTACACACTCGTTGTTTTAATAATAACAAAATGATAATAATAATAATGATAATGGTGATGATGATGATAATAATAATAATATTATTATTATTATTATTATTAATAACAAAAATAAAAAGGGATAAAAAAAAAAGAAAAAAAAATTTAATTTAGTTAAAATAAAATGAAATTAAAAAAATTCCATCGGGATTTCGTTGCGCTCCTTTTTTTTTTCCTTTGAATTTTCCTCGAGCGTACATTTCTTTCTTTTTTTCCTTTTTCTTTCTCTCCCCTCTCCCCCAATTCCCTACCCCTTTTTTTATTGTTTCTTTTTTTTTTTTTTTTTTAAATATTTTAGTGACATTGATAAGAACGAAAAAACTTAAGGCGACGGGTAAGAAAATTGAAAAATTATTAAGCAAAAAAAAAAAAAGGAAAAAAGGAAAAAAAACAAATAACAAAATAATAATAAAACAATCTGGGATTTTAATATCAAATAACTTAATCGTCGAAACGAAAAATAACAGGAAAAAAAAGAAAAAGGAAAAAAAAAGGAAAATGAAAATGGAAAAAAATATTTTTTTTCCTTACGTTTCCACTTCTAAAATTTTCTTCCGCGCGATCTATCATTCCTTCCCCCACCCTCCCTTTTCTCTCTTTTCAAAAAGAATTTCTATCGGTGGTTTTTACAAGACGGTCATCAGGTTAAAAAGAAAAAAGGAAAAAAATCTAGAAAGAATGGATGATGATGATGATGGTGATGGTGATGGTGATGAAGGAGATGAATCTAAACAAAGACAAAAAAAAAATAAAATGATAAAAAAAAAAAAAAAAACTAACCTCTTGGTTGAGATTGCTGACGAGGAGAACGCATCCTCCGGATCCTGGCAATCTAATGCCAGGTACACCGAGTGCGGCATTTGCTCCAGGAAGAGCAAAACCTGCCAAGGGCATGCCGCTCGTCACCGGGGATCCCGCAAATGCTAATGGACTCGTGAGGCTGTGAATGCCACTGAATGGATTCGGAAGAACGCCTTGGGCTCCTGTTGAAAAACCAAAAAAAAAATAAAAATTCACGATTAAATAAATAAATGTGTCAGCGGCGGGCGACTACAGAGATTCGAAGAAAACAGCAAAAAAGGAAACAAAAGGAAAAAAAGGAAAAAAAAGCAGAAGAAAAAAAAAATGAAGTGCTTTGGGAGGACCCAAAACATATTTAGAAACTTGTTTTTTTCCACGAAAACTCTCACGAAGAAAATAATTTCCATTTTTTTTTCCTTTTCATCTTTCCTTTTATTTTTTCCTTTTCTTTCCTTTTTTTTTAAAACTCAATTTAACTTTTCCCCGGAGGATAAAATATATAAAAAAAAAAAAAAAAAAAAAGCAAACAAATCGACTTAAGTGACTCTTAAGACGACGACGACGACGATGGTCAACATAAAAGAAAAAAATTCCAACATGGCTGACGTGATGATAAAAATATCGATGATGACGTTTTGTCTAAATTCGTATCAATCGAATCAAAATTTTTCCCGATCGATGATAATAATAATAATAATAGTAATTTAACTCTCGATATTATCTTGTAATTTCATTATCATTAAAGTTTTTTTTTTTTTTAAATCATCATCATCATCATCAACAATTCGTATACGGTCATTAAAAAAAGAAAAACTTTTTCTGACAACCTAACTAACGCGAGTGAGTGAGTGAGAGAAAGAGAGAGAGAGAGAGAAAAAAAAAACTGATTCGAAAAACACCGAGAAATTTAACGAGGTATAAAAAATCGTTTTCCATTATCCTCAACAAAGTGAAAACGAGTTGTAATCAAAAAAAAAAAAGGAAAAAAAAAAAAAAAAAAAAAGGAAAAAAGGAAAAAAGAAAAATCCTTTTATACTTTTTCTTTTTTTTTCCTTCTCTCTCTCTCTCATCCTCCCCCCGTCTCTCTCTCTCTCTCTCTCTCTCTCTCTTTTCTATTTCTCATCCGAAAAATTCAAATCTTACTCTTGAACAAACAAGAATTTTAAAAAATAAAATTTAATTCGTTTTCAATTTTTATTATTATTATTATTAATTTTTTTTTTGTACTTTTTCAACAACGAACGATGACAAATTTAATAATTTCACGGATAAATAAATAAATAATTTAATAAATTAATAAATAAATAATAAATTAAAATCCTCCCCGCGTAAAAAAATTAATAAAAACGTTTAAATAATTAAATAAATGAATTAATGACGTCGCGCGTGACGTCATTTTGTTGTTTTCTTTTTTTTTCTTTTGCTTCGGTTGGTTATACTGCTATTAAAAACAAAAGCAATTTTTTTTTTTTAACCGCAAACGTTGGTAATGATTTTATTTTTTGATCGACCACAGACTAACAATCACTTTTTTTTTTTTTTCGTTGAATGCGCTCTGAATGAAATTTATTTACTCTATGACTCCTGGATTCATCGTCCGAGTCTCGAGTTAACATCCGGTTTTAAATGTTTTGTTAAAACTATCTATCGGGGGAAGGGGGGAGAGAAGAAACGAACATCGACTTTTTTTTTTTTTTTTTTCTTCATGACTTTTTTTTTTCTCTATGAAAAAAATTTTTTTTTTCTCAAGGATACTCACAAAAAAGATTTTTATAAATTTTCCCCCTTCCTCCCTTTCTCTCTTTCTCTAAATTTTTCACTTAACTTTTAAATCTGTATTTTTTTTTCTTTTTTCGCAAGAAAAAGTGAGATTTTAGAGAAAGAGAGAGAAAAAACGTAAGAAAAGCGATTTTTCGAGAGAGAGAGAGAGAGAGAGAGAGAGAAAAAAAACAAAAAAAAAAATTTTTGCTAAAATTTACGGCAACTCCTTCCTCTTCCTTCCTTTTTTTGCGTTTAAATTGTTTTGACAGTAAATAATAAATTTACCGAATAACTAAAAATAATAAAAGAAAAAAAAATGGATGTTACGAAATATTAAAATAGGAAAAAAGGAGTAGATTTTCGTCACACACACACACAAAAAAAAAACGTGTCAGAAGAAAAGTACTAATTTAAGGAGAGAGAGAGAGAGAGAGAGAGAGAGGAAAAAAAAAAATTTAAACTCACCTGATTTTTTTATATAAAGAGACATATTTAAGCGATGTGATAAATATATATAAATATTTACAGGCTCTGGAATTTTGTATTTGGTAAACAACCTGAAACAACAGGACACACAGGATTCGTCAAAGGTAAGATCAATGGAAACAAGGATAATCAAGGACGAGGATAAGACATTGGGATTTTTTTTTTTTTTTGGCCTCCGTGAAAAAATTAAATCGGGAAGAAATGAATAAAAATAAAAAATGAACTCACCGGCAGCCAAACGTGCTTGCATATCCGTCGGAAGGCTCCTGTGCCTCGAAGGCGTGGAATTAGCCATTAAAAGTTGCGGCAATATGTCGGCACCCCCTAATCCGAGACCGTCCAAACCTGAATCTCCCGTTGGCAAATTCGGATTCGTGTAATCCCTTGATTTGTCATTGTTGTATTTGACGTTAAGTGCCGAAAGTTTTGAATATTCAATGCGAAGAGTGCAGCAAGAATTGTAGATGTTTCGACCGTCCAAAGACTGAAACGACAAACAAACAAACAAACAAAAGTTGATTTTTCATCAAATTCTTTGTGTACAAGTATTTTCCCCCCACCTCCAACCTCTTCGTTCTTCGCCTAGTACAAACCGAGTAAAAAGCAATAAAAAAAAAGGAATGGAATGGAAACAACCTTACGCGCGGAAGAAGGGGGAAGGGAAAAAGAAGAAGACGTAGAAGAAGAAAAAAAAAAAACGCAATCGGAAATAAAACTGTAACGGCTCACCGCTTTCCGTTTCCTTATTTTTCCTTCCACCCCTACCTCTTCTCTCTCCTTACTACCCTTTCCTCACAGAAAAAAAAAACAACAACGTAAAGAAATAATACTTTCAAAATAAAATAAAGAAAAGAGAAGAAAAGAAACAAACAAAACAAACAAACGAACAAACAAAAATCGTAACAGGGAAAGAGAGAAAGAGTTTCCTCGGTTTTTTTTTCTTTTACCGATTTCAACTTTTGATTTGTGTCTAATTCCACGACAAAAAAAAAAAAAAAAAAAAAAACTTTTCAATTTTTCCCTAATGCTCTCCCACCTGTTCTTCACCATTTCTTTTCCCTCCACTCCCCTCCCCACCCCCGGACCTAGGTTCAACGTCCACGAAACACAATTAAAAAGATTAATTATTTTAAACCGCTTAATACATTAAATTAAATCAACTTATATTTTGTAACCGGAGTTTTGAGGTTTTTAATCCTTCATTAAAATTTCGTTTTACGTTATTCCTGCGTTGTTTGTTTGTTTCTTGTTGTTGTTGTTGCAAAAAGTTTGAAAAGGGGGATTCGAAAGGACAAGAAGGGAAACTGAAAGAAAGCGGAGAATGGGAGGGGTAGGAAAATGTATAGAAAACTCTCTACTACTTCCTTTTTTGTATCATTTTTATTTTTTCAAAAAGAAAACCCTCCTCCCTCCCTCCCTTCCTCTTTTTAACTTTTTTCCCTTTTCGGAAAACAGAGTAACACGAATGGCGGTTTTATAATTAAAATAAAATAACTAATGCCACGATGTTTTTATTTTTCCCCCATCTCGTTTTCCATACCCTTTAAGAAATTAAGGCAAACTTTTTTTTCCCCCTCCTTTTTTTCATCCAATTAATTTATTTCATACGACTTATTGAGTAAATTTATTTCATTATTATTATTATTATTATTATTATTATTATTATTATTATTATTTTTGCATTTTCCAACCTCAAACACACAAAAAGAAAGAGAGAGAGAGAGAGAAGTAATAACATTGATAAAAATCAAAGGAGATTCCATCAATCACAACATCATTATCATTACAAAAAAATTTTTTCCATTCTTTACATTGTTTTCTCCTCCCCCTCTTCCCTCACCGACCAATCCCCTTTCAGCTTTACCCCTCCCACGACAAAAACTTTCACTTTTCACTCATCCCTCTCTCATTATCGATCAATCCCATTTCAGCCTTCTTCTCCTCCAAAAGGAAAAACTTTTGTTCGTCGCATCGCTTCCTCCCTCTACACCTCACCCATCATCGACCAATCCCGCAAAAAAAAAAAGAAAGTAAATTCATATAATAATAATAATGATGATGATGATAATGATTTATATTAATATTAATAAAAAAACTGTCGTTTTTCTTAATTACATTAAAATTATTATTATTATTATTATTGTTTAATTTTTAAAATGAACCTTTTTACTTTCTCCCCCTTTTCGCGCGGGGGGAAAAATACGGGAGAAAATAGAGAGAGAGAGAGAGAGAGAGAGAGAGAGAAAGAGAGAGTGAATAAAAAAAAAGGAAGCATTTAAAATTATTATAATTAAATTAATGTGAACTCGACAAAACTCCCGCCAATTGTTTAAAAAAAGAAAAAAAGAAAAAGAAAAGAAAATTTGTTCCGCCATTTTTTTTATTTAGTCAAAAATAATTAATATAATATTATAAAAGCATTTTCTGCTTTTTTTTTTATTTTAATTTTTTTAAAAAAATAAGTTTACGACGAGCACCTGAAACTTTCAAACCACTTAACATTATTAATGAGAATATTCTGAAAGAATTAAAAGAGAGAGAGGGAGGGAAGGGGAAGGGGGTAGAAGGAGAGGTAATAGGAAGAGGGGGAAGCAATTTTTTTTTATGAAAAGTTTTGCTGTGTTAAAAAGCATAATAAAAAAAAAAGTTTATTCATCTCGAGGGTCCCACTACCACCACCACCACCATCCTCGACAACAACCCACCCCCACACGCTTTTACGCCAAAGAGCCGACCCCTCCCCCCACTCATTACTACTCCCCACTCTTAATTTTTCTTGTCTCGTTTTTGGTTTCTTTTTCAACCATTTACAAACAATTTTTCTTTCTTTTTTTTATATTCTAAATCCACATTCGTTCTCTCTCTCTCTCTCATTACTTATAATAAGGTATTTCACATTAACGTAATTTTTCATTTCATTATACGTTAAAAAAAAACTTTTCCTTTTTTTTCTACTTCGATCCGACATAAAATTAAGTTGAAATCCTTTGGAAAGAAAGAAAAAAAAACCGCAAACAAAAGATTTTAAAGAGTTTTCAAGAGAACGGAAACGAAGGGAAAGGGGAGGGGAAAAAAACTAGATAAAAAAAAGGATCGATAAAAAAGGAAAAATCAAAAAAGGAAACGTAAAAAAAAAAAGGTCGTCTTGATGAAGAAAAATTGGCAAAGATTTCAACAGGAAATCGACAAACGAATGTAAAAAAAAAAAAAAAAAAAAAAAAATTTTCACGATCCGCTTCACTCTTTCCGTTATTTTTCTCAAATGAACTTGCTACTCTCCACACCCATCCCTCTCTCTTCCGACCTTTGACCCCCCCATTGATTTTCCAGGAGAAAAATTTTTTTTTTCCCTTTTTTCCCTTTCGCCTTCATTCACTAACGGATATTAATGACTGCTACGAAAAAAATAAAATAAAAAAATAAAAAAAATAAAAAATAAATATAAATAAATAAAATAAAAAAAAAGAATTTTAATAACGACGATAATCTTCTGCCACGGCATAAATAAAATTAAATTTGACGTGTACAATGAACGATAATTTATTATTCAACATTTTTCTTTTTTTTCTCTTTTTTCTTTCTTTTTTTTTATCCAAAAGTAAATAAATGAATGAGTGAGTGAGTGAGTGAATGAATGAATGAATAAATAAATAAAATTAATATTATTATTATTGTTATCGTTACGAAATTAATTTCGTCGTGGGAATAGAAAATTTAAAATTCAAAGGCCTGAAACTTCATCCAAAGATTCTGATTGTTTTACATCAAAATATTACTTTTCGCAAATCCGAAAACGAGCGAGCGCGAGAGAAAGAGAAAAACAGAAAGAGAGAGAGAGAGAAAAAGGAAAAATAGGGAAAAGTAAAAATAATAATAATAATAATGAAACTATTTAATTTCGCGAGCAAAAGTCGAAAATAATAATAATAATATTAATAAAATCAAAATGGCGCAAAAAATAACCGGATATAATTTCTTTAACGGAAAATGAAAAAATTTTCTTTTCTTTTTAATTATCGTTCAGTCGTCAGTCACCTGCTCTCGTATTTTCTCACATTTTACGAATTTAAAAAAAAAGAAAAATCGGATTTTTCATAACAGCGGGGAAAGGCGGGAGAGGGAAAGGCAAGTCGCTGTCACCGTCGCTGTCTCGTCGTCGTCGTTTTCACCGTCAAACCTTTTCCCACATTTTTTTTTTTTTTTTGTTATTCCTATCCTTCCCTGTTTCGCTCCGGGATTATTTTTATTTTTTTGACTTTTCCAGACTTGTTTTTCTCATTATCCTAATCGGATAAAGAGAAGATTAAATAAATTGTAACTTTTAATAAAAAAATAAAAAGATTTTTTTCAACGAGATCAAATGCAGCTTCCGGTAAAATCAGTCGTCTCATCTCTCTCTCTCTTTTTTGTTCTTGCCAACTCGTTAAATGTTAAACAATGTGAGAGGAAGAAGAAAAAAAAGAAGAAAACGATTTGATTGGGATAAAGCTAAAATAATCGAAGAGGCGGAAGAGGAGATAAACGTGGAAGTAGAAGGTACAAAAATTTAGGAAAATGAACGTTTTTTTCCCTTCTTCTTCCACTTCTTTCACGAACAAAATCATTTATCATCAAATCTTTTTTTTTCTTTTATTTAACGCTTCTAATTTTAAAAAATTTCACATTTCATTTATTTTTTTTTCTCTCTCTCTCTCTCTCTCTCCCTCCCCTTCCACCTATCGCTCTCTCTCTCTCTTCACTCGTTCTGGTAATTAAGTGAAAAAATACATTTCTCATCAAAATATCCAAACGAAAATCCTTCAGGCAAATAAAAAAAAAAAAAGAAGAAAATTCGTTAGAGGGGGGTTTAACGCACTTTTCTCCCCACCACCACCAGCGATCCCGCCCCCATCCGAGACCTGTTTTTAACCGTTTGAAATTCGATAAAAAAATTTTTTTTTAATGGTTTGCTTTTTTCTATTTACACACACACACACACACACACGATGCTCGCCCTCCCCCCTTTTAATTTCCACTTCAAAAATGCGTCTCACCCTTTTCCCGCTCCCACACCCGAACGAGATTTCTTTTATCTAATGCCACGATCATTCATTTTTTTTTTTTTTTTTTTTTTTATTTAAACGTGCACGACAAATAAAAAAAAAAGTAAAAAGTAAAAACGTTTAAGGTAATATTAGTAATAATAATAATAACGTAATTAAATTATTCCATGTTGGTTGACGAAGTGAACAAACAGAATGAATTTAAATGAAATTAAAAATTTATTACTTTTTCTCTCTCTCTCTTATTCTTTCTTTCTTTCTCTTTTTACCGAAATTTTCTCTTTGTCTTTCCTTCTGTCTCTCCCCCTTTCCTTGTTTCTTTTTCCCCCCGCTTCGATGAAAAAAAAAAAAACAAAAATGGAGGACCGGGGAAAAAAGGGTATCATAAGAGAGAGAAAGAGAAAAAGAGAGAGAGAGAGAAAGGTCTCTTTGCAAACTTTTCTTTTTTTTTTTTCGGCTTTGACTTTAATTTTATTAAAAAAACGATAATAATAATAATAATCGAAATTGACTTTCGAAAATTTTAGTTCGACTCCATTTTAAGCCCGTCCGCCCCCTTCCTGTCCTCTACGCGTCGCCATAATTATTTAACGTACACACGCACACACTCACTCAGTCTTTCTCTTTTCACATTTAAAACTTCCTTTCTTTTACGCAATCACGCACGCACGCACGCACGCAGACATTCCTTCAACCCTTTAAATAAGTTTTGAAATTTATGTTATGAATATTAACACGATGCGAACACGAATCAATTATGTGACTCCCCTTTCACTCCATTTTCCCTTCTCTCTCTCTCTCACACACTTTCCTTTTTCACTCCCTAACAAAAAAAAAAAAAATTATAATTCATTTCATCGTCACTCACGTAAATGAAAAACGGAAACAGAAATGAACTCAAACGAAAAAAAAAAAAAAATCGATCGGAGAGGGGGAAGGAAAATCAAAACATGAAAAATAATAATAATAATAAGAATTATAATGAAATAAAAGAGGGAGGCGCGGACGAAAACGGTGAAGGAAACAAAACGAAAAGAAAAAAGATGTAAAAAAACATAAAACGACATTACGATCGAAAAACGCGGAGGGAGAGGAAAAAAAAGTAGGAGGAGGGAACAATAAGGAAAGGAAACGGAAATGAAGAAACCGAACCTGTTGAATCTTACACGCGCACTCACGCACACATTTACGCCCCCCAAAAATAAAACAATTCATTTAATCGAATCGTCGTGAATTCAATTTTCCTTTGTTAATAAATAATAATAATAATAATATTTAATAATAATAATGATAATAATAATGAACGTGTAAAGAAAAATAAATAAATCGATCGATTGTTAAACCTTCGACATTTTTTTTTTTACTACAAAATTTATTATAACGGATGAAAAAGCTGAAAGAGACAGAGAGAGAGAAAGAAAGAAGAAAAGAGAGACAGAGAGAGAAAATGAAAGCATTCTAATGATACATTTAATAATTAATAATGTAAAAATATTTCCTTAAACGAAAAAAAAAAGAAAAAAAAAACGAAAGGAAAATTGTCGAAACTTTTCGTCTTTTTCTTTTTTTTTAAAATTTTCCACCGCCGCCTTGGACGTCCACGTTCCATCTTTTTTTTTTTTTTTTTGTTTAATTACCAAATTTTTACATGGCCCTCTACACATTTGACTCACTCTTCCCTTTAATTCGTAATTTAATGAAATCTAATAGTCGGTTCTCGTCGTTATTATTATTATTGTAATTAACATTACTTAATTATTAAATATTTCCCTCTTTCATTCAGTCATTCATTCATTCATTCATTCATTCATTATTTTTCATAATAAATTAAATAAATTAAAACTTTTTCTTTTTTTCTTTTTAAATAAAATTTTTCAAGTATGTTTTTTCTCTCTTTCTTTTTCTTTCTCGTCAGAAAAAACTTTTTACTTTTTCTCGTCATCATTATTATTATTATTATTTAAAAAAAAAAAATTTCAACATGGCGTTTTCATTCAAACTATTTAAGAATCTTATAAAAACCGTTAATTTCTTTTTTTTCGTCTCTCGTTCAAAAGGAAAAAAAAAAAAAAAAAGAAAAAAAATGTCAACTCACCAGTTTGGCAGCTTGAGCCGTTATAACGTCGGGATATTGAATTAATGCCTGAAAAGAACCTGAAACGAAACAAAAAAAATTTCCACGTGATTTCAGATGAATTGTTCCCCCCTTCTCCCCCCAAAAATCAATTTATTATTATTATTATTATTACTTACTATTTTTTGTGAAGGTAACTATTTTCATAACACGGCCAACCTCTGAAAATATCTGCGAATAAAAAAAAAGAAAAAATTAACGATGATAATAATAATACTAATACTAATACTAATGATGATGATGATGATGATAATGATGATGATGTTAAATTTTTTCAATCACTGATTGACTGAACACGATTGACTCATTACGTTACACTTTCGACGTAAAAAAAAAATAATAAAAAAAAAACTTAATAAATCATGGAAAAACGTCACCGCATTAAAAAAAAAAATTATCGAAATTTATCAAAGGTTTCCTCCCCTCGTCCCTCATCCCCCACACGTTATCGAAAGCAATCAAAGGAAAATAAAAGGAAAAAAGTCGAAACGTTAAATTTAATTTTTTATATTTATAAATATAAATAATAATTATCGAAAGGGAAAAATCGATTAATAAAATAAAAATTTAATAATAATAATAATATCGATAATAATAATAATAACGATGGTGGAGGATGATAATGATAATAAAAACGTTTTTTTTTAGTTATACCGACAAACTCCTCCCTCCCTCTCCCTCTGTTTTTCGTCTGCTTCGCAGCCCTTTTTTTTTTATTTAAAAAAACCCTTTCCACAACCCTTTTTCCTCTCCCTCCGCTTCCCTTTTTCCCTCTTTCTCCCCTTTCTCCCTACCACTTCCCTCTCTTGTTATTCTTTTCACCTTTCCACATTACATCAACCAAAATAATTAAATTATTTCTGATGGGATTTTTTTTTTTTTTGAAAATATATATATATTGAAAACTTAAGTTATTGACATTATCGGCATTCGATAATGAGAATTTAACAATACAAAAGAATACAAAAAAAAATGGAAAAGGAAAAAGGAAAAAAAAGGAAACGACAGAGACAGAGAGAAAGAGAAGAGAGAGAGAGAGGAAGGGAGGGAGGGAGTCAGAGAGGAAAAGAATGGAAATAAGAGTTGGAAAAAGGAACAAAAAAAAAAAAAAACCTTTTAAGTTTAACAGTTAGGAATAACAATAATAACAATAATAATAATAATAATAATAATAATAATAATAATAATTTGAAAATAAATAAATAAAATAAATGGAAAAGGTAAAAAGAAAAAAAAAATTATAAATCGTTATATAAAAATGGAATAAAAAAAAAGGAAAAAAAGGAAAAAGAAAAATTTTCCACCCAACGTTTTTCTCACCCTTTCTAAAAAGGAAAAAAAAAAAAAGTTTTCCAATATGGAAACAATTTAGTTGACGTTTTTCCTTTTTTTTTTCTCACCCTTTTACTCCCCCTTCGATTTTCTTTTTTTTTCCCCTTTTTTCCCCTTTCTTTCTCTCCCCCTACTTTTTTCCTTTTTTTTATTATCGATTACGATTTAATATAAATAAACGTATAAACATAAAATTTTAACCTTTGACTAAAAAGTTTTTATTTAAATTACCCGGAATAAAAAAAAAAAAAAAAACTTTAAATCCTGTTGGAAATATTTTTCAAAGGAAAACTTTAACAACCCCCCAACTCTCCCGCTCCCCTTCGGTAAAAATACAATACAAAAAACAATGGAAAAACGCGAAAATTTAGACAAACAAAAAAAAAAAAAAAAGTTTTGAGGATTTTTTATGCGCACGTGGCACTAAAAAAAGAGAAAATGATTCTGGAACCACGACGGAAGTAATCGTATCGTCGTGTGTGAGGCAGAGGTATGTGGAACCCTTTTCCACTCCCCGGAAAAACCAAATAAAAAAACCAACGACGAGGAGGAGGAAGAGTCGGATGCACCTTACAAATTCCGTTCACGTTTTACTTTTTTTAACATCCGGTACGCACGTACGCACGTTCCCCCCCCTTTTTTTACGTACGAAAACTTTGTCGTGTCAATAAAATTTTCCGTCTCACCTTGTAAAGAACGTCCAACGTCACGGGATACACCATGTGCTCGATAATAACGCGAAGAACCGTGTTCGGTCCTCCCTGAGTGTCGATACTTCCGGATAATGCTTGAGCTGCTTGAAGAGCGGCCTGAGCGGAAGCGTTCTGGAAAAAAAACCAATCAATCAATCAATCAATCATTCATTCATTCTTGGGAATGTCGCACAAACGACGGGAAACATTTAAATGAGACCATGCAAATTCCAATTTCAATTTTTTTTGCCGACTGGAAAATTTTTCGTTAAATTTTGGCTGATTCCAGAATTTTTAAAGACGCAAACCTCCCCCCATCCCTCCCCTCTCGGATTATTTTTTTTACATAATCCTTAATTATTTAAATTCCATTCCGTGGCTCCCGGAAAAATAAGAAAAATAAGAAAAAAAGAAAATTATTAAATAGTCCGCGTTTATTTATTTTTTAATTACAATTTTTCGTGTCAGCAGAAAATTTTTTATTTTTTAAATTGAATCACGTAATGCGAGTTCTCTTGCTCTTTTTTTTTACGATTTTGATTAATTTTCCTGTGAGTGGGGGGGAGGGGAGTGTGGAAATTTTCTTTATAAAACAAACATCTTTGAAACGTCATCAAAACCAATAATAATAATAATAATAATAATAATAATAATAGAAGGACAAGAAAAATATTATAGAAGGACAAGAAAAATATTATAGAAGGACAAGAAAAATATTATAGAAGGACAAGAAAAATATTAACTAGAAGGACAAGAAAAATATTAACTAGAAGGACAAGAAAAATATTAATAGAAGGACAAGAAAAATATTAACCATGAATGGTGCGTTACATCCAAAAGCTGATGTGGATAGATTGTACGTCAGCAGGAAAGATGGAGGAAGAGGATTACGACAAATAGAAGCGGCATACCAGAATGCCATAATTGGAATGGGAAAATACATAGAATCCCATCGAGAGGACCCCATCTTAGCCCAAGTTATACATGCAGAAGAAAAAACTACAAAAAAAGGAGTTCTGAAAAGGGCAAAACAAATCGTCCAAGAAAATAAAGAAAATGAGATAATGGAAGAGGGGCAACTTGCAACTTATAATAGCAAAGCCCAATCTCAGAAGAAATTAATAGGCAAATGGGAACAGAAAAAATTACATGGGCAATACCTAAAAAGAATAAATGCCGAAGATATTAATAAGAAGAGCACGCACAATTGGCTACGACGTGGAAAACTTAAAATAGAAACAGAAGCGTTTATTACAGCGGCTCAAGATCAGGCATTGCGGACCCATAACTATGAAAAAGTAATTCTCAAAGTCCGCCAAGATGACAAGTGCCGAATTTGCCAATCACAATCGGAAACCATCGATCATTTAATTTCCGGTTGTCCGATACTGGCAAAACATGAATACTTAGAAAGGCACAATAAAATATGTCAATATCTCCATTGGAATATATGCCGAGAATATGGAATGGATGGATTACCCAAGGAGTGGTACAACCACATTCCAAGCCCGGTCACGACAGTAGGCCCATGCACAGTTCTGTATGATCAACAAATCCACACTGATAGAACTGTGCCAGCTAACAAACCGGATATCATACTCAGGCATAATGGGGAAAAATGGTGTAAGTTAATTGAGGTATCCGTGCCGGCAGAAAAAAACACCACAGCCAAAGAAGCAGACAAAAGGCTGAAATACAGAAATTTGGAAATTGAAATAACCAGGATGTGGGGAACAAAAACTGAAACGATTCCGGTCATCGTGGGAGCATTGGGAGCCATGCCACATTCAATAAAAGGAAATTTAAAGAAGATTATGAAGAACCTAAAAGAAGAAACCATCCAGGAAATCGCACTATGTGGGACGGCCCACATTCTTCGGAAAATATTATAAATAGCACCACCGATATTCGAGTATTTGTCCCTAAGGAATCGGGTAGAGACCTGGGATAAATGCTTAACAACCCCGACAAATAAGAGCCTTGTCGTGTTTAAGAGTGACCATAATAATAATAATAATAATAATAATAATAATAATGATAATAAATAAAAGTCGGAAAGGGTTTTTTTTTTTTTTTTTTTTTTTTTTTTTTTAAATAAATCGTTTTTCTTTTGTATTATTATTTTCCCTTTCCTCGTGTTTTTCTTTAGGGTTATCAACAAGTTGGTAACCCTGTCCGACCGAGTCCCCGGATTTACATTATTTACAACGTTTTAATTTTATTATTATTATTATTATTTCTTTTTACTTTCATCCCTTTTTTTCTCTCTCTTTCTTTTTTATTTTTTTTTGTTTGTTTGTAAACTTTTCATTTCCTTTTTAACGGTCAATTTATTTATTTGTTGTTATTAAATTGTTTTGACTGTCTTTTCTTTTCCCCCCCCCCAAAGAAAGAGAGAGAGAGAGGGGGGGGGATAAAGAGAGAAATGATGATGATGATGATACTGACCGCGTTGCTGTGCGTTTGATCTGTTTTGAGTTCTTTGTGATTGGAAAACTGGACGAAAACTGCTCTTCCTCTGAGTTGGGCAGCACAAGACGTGAAATAAGACACCATTTCCGATGCTGATAATTCGTCTGCCATTTCCAAAAATGCCTGGAAAAATTAAAAAAAAAAAGAAACAAATAAATAAATAAATATTTTATAACGGAAACGAAAACAAACTTTATTTTTTCTCATTCTTCTTATTCTCTCTCCCTCAATCAATTTCAAAAAAAATAAAACAAAATAAAAATTTTTTTTTTTTTTTGTCGAAAAACCGAAACAGAAACGTCGACAAAATGGCGTTTTCGAACCTTTTAAAAAAAAGCGGGAAATTTTTTTTTTTTTATTAAATTAATGATTACAAAACAAAAAAAAAAAAAAAAAACGATTGCAAATTCGGCAAAAAGAAAAACACGTGGCTATAGAATCGTTATCGTATCATTATCGCGATAGTGATAATTATTATATTTCGACCTCTCGAAAACCTCGACGAGTTTTTTTTTCAACCGGAAATAAACCTCCAGAATTTTTTTTTTCCTTTTCCCCCAAATTTTCCCATCAACCACCTTAACTACCTTTAAAACCTTTTATTATTTCTCATAATAATAATAATAATTTCAATCTTATAAAATAAAAAAACCATTTTCTCTCTCTCTCTTTCTCTTTCAAGATTTAACTTTTCTCTTCTTTTTTAATTTTCCTCTTTCTCTCTCTCTCTCTTTCTGTTTTACTTTTTTTTTTTCTTTCTCTACGTTTAAAACTCTTTTTCATCATTTTTTATTTATAAGCGAAGCAAATTGTTTGCCGAGAGCTTATTTAACGTCGCTCCAAGCCCAATTAAAACTTTAGCGGAGAAATTCAAGAGAAAAAAAAAGGAAAAAAGGAAAAGGAAAAAAGGAAAAGGAAAAAAATTAAAATCTGGAGTCTTAACCCAAATCGAAAGTAAAAAAAAAAAAGATAAAAGAAAAATTCAAAAAGAACCCTCTTCTACTTCATCCCCTTCTTCCCCCCTTTTTTTTTGAGTAACAAAGAATGAGAAAAATCAAGGTAAGTAACACGTAATTTTCGGAGCCATTTTCCTTTTCCTCTTCCCCTCTCACATTTCCCGGAATTATTTTTCTTAATAGTTTCAAAATGTCTAACGAGAGTACCACCAAGATAAGAAAATAATCAAAAAAAAAAAAAAAAAAACCGGAAAAGGATAAGAAAAGAACGTAAAAGGATGGAGGGGGAAGGGGGAAGGAGGAAAAAGAAAACAAACCTTATCCCGCTCACATTTGACCTTTTTTCCCCTTCCCGCTTAAATCATTTCCGTTTTTCTTTTTTTTTTTTTTTTTTACCTTTTTTCCTTACCTTTATTTAAAGAAAAAACCCGAACGAAGAGAGAGGGGGAGAGGGAAGGGGAAAAAGAGAGGAGGAGAGAAAAAACATTAATATATTCCACGGATAAAATTCTGGATGGAACTTTCTTGGGTCCTTCGGGATAAGAAAAACTCCTCTAACGGGTTTTGAATTTATTGACAGTCGAAAAAGTATTTTTTCTTCTTCTTACCCTTTTTTTTTTTTTTAGTTTGTGAAAAAAAAGCAGAAGAAAAATAAGGAAAATGTAAAAACTAAATGTACGTGGAAAAAGGAAAAAGTAACGTGGGATGAAGCAGAAAAAGGAAAAAAACAAGATTTAGAAAAAAATAATAATGATAAGGAAAAAAAAAAAAGAAAAAGAAAAAATGAATTATCAATTTTCTTCAGGTTTTTTTTTTCCATCGTGGCAGCACACGTACGCGTCGTCGTGTCACTTGTTTAAAACGTTCCACGACAACGACGACGACGATGATGATAATTTAAAAATAAAAAAATAAACGGTCATTTTTATCATTAACCGTTGTTTTTTTTTTCTCTCTCTTTCTCTCTTTACCAAAGACCTTTCATCTAATTTTTTCCTCTACCGTCTCCTGCCACGTTTTCCCGCCGCTCCTTTTCTCTCTCTCTGTACGTTTCTCTTTTGTCACGGCACCACCGAACCATAATTAAATTTGGTGTTTTCTGACACCTGTGACATTAAAGACCTGGCCACGTCATTTGTCAACATTTATTATTCCTCTTTGCCTATTTTTTTTTTTTTTTTGTTCGTTCGTATTTACTTTCACCCGAATTAGCCATTTTTTTTTTTCCAGGGAAAAAAGAGAGAGAAAGAGACAGGAAGTAGTAGGGGGGAGAGAGAGAGTGAAAAAAAAATCGATAACTCAAATTTCTAGTACTTTTACAACCTCCTCTTTTTTTTTAAATCTCTTCCTCTCTTCTTCCCTTTTCGACATCCGACCTTCCCCCCACAACCCAACCCAACTCCTGAGTCTCCCACCTCCTTCCCATTTCCTCGCACGTGAACTTCATTTTTTTTTTTTCTCCATGAGAGCGCAGCACGATCAATCAAACAAACATTTTTTCATATAAATTTTTTTTGGTTTTTCTATTTTATTTTTTGTTTTGAAAAAATATTTATAACCGATTATTATTATTATTATTATTATTATTATTATTATGGTCACTCTTAAACACGACAAGGCTCTTATTTGTCGGGATTTTTAAGCATTTATTCCAGGTTTCTCTTCCCGACGATTCCTTAGGGATAAATGCTCGGGTGCTATTTATATAGTATCCCGAAGAATGTGGGCCGTCCCACATTCTAGTGCGATTTCCTGAATGGTTTCTTCTTCTTTTAGGTTCTTCAAAATCTTCTTTAAATTTCCTTTTATTGAATGTGGTGGCATGGCTTCCAGTGCTGCTCCCACGATGACCAGAATCGTTTCTGTTTTTGTTCCACACATCCTGGATATTTTAATTTTATTATTATTATTATAATTATAATTCATCGCGAGATTCCATGCTTGCACTTGTAGAAGTTTTATTTCCAAAATTCTACCCGATTCCTTACGAATAAATGTTTCGATATTAATTTTTTCCTAGATTTTTCCAGAATATTCTCCAGTCTTATCCAGACTTTTCCAGTTTTCTCCAGATTTTCTCCAGACTTTTCCAGTTTTCTCCAGGATATTTTTAGACTTCTCTAGGCATATCCAGACTATTCTAGTTCTCCAGTTTTCTCCAGACTTCTCCAGTATTCTCCAAAATTTTTTTCCAAACTTCTCCAGTCTTATCCAGAGAAACCTCCCTAATCTTCTACACAGCCTTTCTAAACTTTTTCAGCTTTTTTCTAAACTTTTCCAATTTTATTTTCAATCTTTTCCAGATTTTCTCAAGACTTTTCTTGTCATTATTATTATTATTATTATTATTATTATTATTATTATTATTATTATTATTATTATCATAATCACTTTTTTTTAAATTTCAATTTTTAGTATCGTTTTTTCTCATTCTATAATAAAAACTTATTTCTTTTTTTTGACGAATGTTTTCGCCCGAAAATTACAAAAAAAAAAAAAAAAAAACAAGTTAAAATCAAAACAAAACAAAAAAAAAAAAATAAACAAAAATAAATAAATAAATAAAAAGAAGAAGAAGAATAGAAAAGAAAAAAAAAAGAAATTAAATTAGAAAACATTTTCGTAGAAAAAAAAAAAAGAAAGAAAATTGCTTGAAATAAAAAAAAAAAAAAAAGAAAAAGAAAAAGAAAAAGAGAAAAAAATAAAACGAATAGATTGAATCACGTCAAGTGGCAGCAGAACAAGATCAATTCGGTTTTTATTACCAATGAGAATTTGTGAATTTGGTTCTCGAATAAAAATCGCAAAAACATAAAAGAGAGAGAGAGAGAGAGAGAGAGAAAAAGTAATTTTTTTTCCCCCTTTCGTTTTTCACTTTATTTTACAAATTGATTAAAAAAAAAAAAAAAAAAAGAATCGTAAATACTAACTTATGTTATGGATATTATTATTATTATTATTATTATTATTGTTACTTAAAAATCGATAATCTTTTATCTTTTTTTAATCTTCCTATCCAACAGTTTCAACGCGACAAACAACATTGTTTCGTTGATTTAAAAAAAAAAAAGAAAACTTACGGAAATAAATTAATTATAATAACATCTCACCTGATTTTTTCCTTTGAGAACTAAGACGTTGGTGACACGTCCAAACGGAATACCCAAATGTATGATTTCCGGTTCAGAAACATCACTCGGAATGTTTCTTATGTGTATTACTTTCGAAGGTTTCACGTTTTGATTTTTATCAAGTTTAACCTGAAAAAAAAAAAAATCAATTAAAAACGCCTTAAAAATCGCGTACACTCATTTTGTCATACGTTAAAGAACGACGGGTTGCAAATGATTAAACAAAAACAAACAAGTAGAAAACTTTTTTTTTATTATTACCGCCCTCAGCCTTCCCCACGCTCCCCCAGCTCCCCGAATTTAATTTTTTTCATTGCCCTCGTTATTAATACGTCATTAATTATAAATATTAATAATGAAAAAAAAAAACAAAAAACAAAAAATTTTAATTTTTAATTCGTTTAACGTCAATTAAAAAAAAAAAAAAAAAAGGCAAAAACCAAAACAAAACAACAACAATAACAAAAAACCGCAAAGCATAAACGTTCTAATGAAAACATTAATTATTAAAAAGGGAAGCGCGCACACGCACGGACGGACGCACGAACGCACGCATGCACGCACGCACGCACATACACTCGCACACAACACGTCGGTCAGGCATTTTAAATTATTCATCAATTTTGAAAATTACCAAAATAAACACAACAAACAAAAACAAAAAACAACAAAAAAAAGAAAGAAAAGCCTTAAATTATTAACGTTCTTTCTATTCTTTTTACTATCACCACCACCTTCACCGCCACCATCAACGCCGACGCCGACGCCGCCGCCATCTTTCTATCATTTCTATTAATTTTCTGTTAAAATAATGTTTCTACTTTCTCGTTTTTCTTTTTTTCTTTCTTTCTTTTCATTACCTTTTGTTTTTTTTTTTTTTTTTTTTTTTAAAATAAAAGCAAGGGAAACAAAAAAAAAGAAAGAAAAACTTTCGCATTACATCTTATTTTTTTTTTAAATACTCAAATCATAATAATAATAATGAAAATCGCCTCGAAAAAAAACATAAACAGGAAGAAAAAAAAAAAAAAAGAATAAATATGGTTTTGTTTTACGGCACGAAACAAACAAACAAACAAAAAAAAAAAAGAACAAGGAGGGAAAAAAAAAATTCCCCACGAAAAGCTTTCAGCATCTTATTTAAATCTTTTTATTTTTTAAAAAAAAGTGGCATTAAAATGAAGACGTAAGAAAAAAAAAAAAACAAAAAAAAATTTTTTTTAATGCATAATGAAAGAGAGAGAGAGAGAGAGAGAGAGAGAAAAAAAAAATAAATGTTCATAGAGAAAAAAAAATTTTTTTTTTTCATTCGTAAAACACACACAAACACAAAAAATACATTTCTAAACTTCTCCGTATATTTTTCGTTTGTTTGCTTGTTTGTTTGTTGTTTGTATTCTTTTTTTTAGGGAGGTGGGGTGGAAAGGAAAAAGAATCGACTTTTATTATTATTATTATTATTATTATTTTAACTTTTCACGTAAAAACGACAATAAAAAAAAAGAGAAAAAGAAAAATTTGTACAAAAGTTTGACATTTAATTTAATGACGTCACTAATCAAAATAACAATGGCGATTGTTTCGCGCCAAAATAATGGAAAAAAAAAAAAAAAAAAACAAACAAAACAAAATTTCGATTTGAGTCATGACGTCATTATATTAAATTATTCATCCTTTTTTTTTTTTTTGAAGGATTACCGATGAAGGATAAGGTTGCTAATACGTTCGGTACGAGGAGGAGGAGGGCGGGGGAGGCGGGGAGGGAGGAGGGAAAGGGCAGAAATAGAAAAAATCGAAAAAAAAAAAAAAAAAAATTTTTTTTACACCAGAAATTGACAATATTGTTTCGCAGAGACGTTGCACTAATAATAATACTAATAATTCTTTTTTTTAATCATTGTTAATATGCGACGTGGCAGCAGAAGCCAACCACTGCGAACGCACCCGATTCGAATCGACCGATCCGATCCGATCCGATCCCGGCCCTGGGTTTTCTCTAATATAAAATTAAACTGTAAAAATGAAAAAAATGAAAAAAAATTTTTTTTAAATGTTTAATTAAATCGAAAGGCAAACATAAATCAAAACATTTTTTTTACAATTTCACGTCGTTTTTTTTATTTTTATTTAAAAAAAAAAAAAAACAAAATTTGAAAAAATTTACGTTTCGAAAAAAAAAAAAAAAATTATTTTATTTTATTACTTTTTACTTTAAAAAAAAAAAAACAGGAAATGACGTCACATCGAGAAAACATTATTAAACGAAATGTAATTAACGTTAAATCCAAAAGCGCGCGCGGCTCCCCTCCCCCGCGCAAACACGCACGCGAACAACATTTTTAGAAAATTCGAGAAAATTCAAACATTTCTCTCTCTCTTTCTCTCTTTCTTTCTTTCTCTCTTCTTTTTTTCTGTAAATCAATGATTAAAAAGCAAAAAAAAAAAATTTATTTACCAAACGACGTCAAATTTAAAGTCGAACAAGAAGAAAAAAACAACAACAAAAACAACATTTTTACATTTGCTTCTGATAGAGAAAAAAAAAAAAAATTCTTTTCATTCCGAACGACGACAACGCACACGCACACACACACGCACAACAGCAACAGCAACAACAACATCATCACGGGGGAAAGAAAGAGAAAAAAAAAAAAAAACAGAAAAAAAACTAAAAAAAAAAAGAATTAGGTGACAGACGACGTTTTCTTGTTCTCATCTTTCAAAACTTAGAATTTCGGAAATGTCACTTTTACCACTTTATTTCCGGTTTTCCCGTTTTATACGTTTCGCCTGTTTCTGACACGACAAAATTTGACACACATTTAAAACTGCACACTAATAATAATAAAAAATTCTTTTTTTTTCTCTCTTTTTGCGAAAATTCCTTTAAACCCTATTGAAAAAAAAAAGAAACCTCACGATTATCATTATTAATACTTTCATCTCATCATCATCTCTCTCTCTCTCTCTCTCTCTCTCTTTACCTTTCCAGTAATTTTTCCCCCCGTCAAAAAATAAAAAGGAAAAAGAGAGAGAGAGAGAGAGAGAGAGAGAAAAAAAAATTATAATTTAAAACGAAGAACGAGCGAATAAGGAAGGAAACAGGAGAAGGGGAAGTTATACAGTAAAGGTACGAAGAAAGAGGAAGAAAGTTAAAAAAAAAGAGAGAGAGAGAAAGAGTGAAAATATTTGAAAAATATGGGTAAAAGAGAGAGAGAGAGAGAGAGAGAGAGAGAGAGAGAGAGAAAGAGTAAAAAAATCTCAAAATGTTTAGTTTTTATTTAATTTAAAAATTTAATTAAACCACCTTTCGTTAATTCTTTTCTTTTTTTTTTTTTTTCTTTTTTTTTTTCGCTTCAAAAGTTTCAGTCGATTAATACCAGAGAGAGAAAGAGAGAGAAAGAAAAATGAAGAATGATTGAGTGTGAGAACGAGAGGGAAAGATAAAGAGAGAAAGAGAGAGAGAGAGGGAAAAAAAATGAGTTTCGAAAAGTTTAAATTGGTCAACCTTTTAACTTTTTACTGCTGCTGCTTCTGTTACTGCCGTCGTAAAAAGCTATCGCCACTGTCACAGCAGCAGAGACATCATCCTCGATCATGGAAAAAATTACGAGAAAAAAAAAAAGTAAAATAATAATAATAATAATAATAATAATAATCGGATCATATAATTTTTAAAATGGGGGCGGCGGCGGTAATGAACACGCTAAGAGGATTTTCTTTTTATAATTTAAGAAGTTTAAAAAAAAAAATAATAAATTAAATTTCTTTTTCTTCTTTAATTTTCTTTTCTTTCCTTCTCTCTTTCTCTATCTCTCTCTTTCTATTTTTTTTTATTCTCCAGGAGTCGACGTGATTTTCCAGTCCAGTAAAAACAAAAAAAAATTTTACTTTTTAATATTAAAAACATTTAAAAAATTCGTAACCGCCCGCTTTTTTCCGCTTCTTCCCACCCCTTTCCCCCAGGAAAAAAAATTCTACCGCGGTCGAAGTTTGTTCAGAAAAAGGAAAAGTAAATACAATGATTACGAACAACAACAAACGACAGCAAACAACAACGACAAACGACAACAAGTGTGAAAGGAACGTAGGGGTCGTGTCATTAAAAACGTGAAATTTCTCACACTCTCGAATTACGACATCAAAAGGCGACAGAAAAAACAACGACAACAACAACAACAAACAACATCAAAACACTAATAATAATAATAATAATAATAATAATAATAATAATAATAATAATAATATTTCACTTGTCAATATTTGTTAAAATTTTTCTTTTTTTCTTTTTTCTTTTTTTATTTTTGCTCGCATTTGTTAATAACAGTAACATAAATAAATAAATTAATTATTAATAATTAATTAAAGCTCCTCTCCTTAATTAATTACACGTCAATCAATTTCATAATGGAATAAGTAATTCTTCTTTTTTTTATTAAATTAAAAATGGCGGATTCGACAACCGATCGTCGGTTTTCATTGTCCGTAAAAACATATAAACAAGAAAAAATTAAATGAGACATCAACGTCGTCGTCATCACCACCACCGTCATCACACCCGCCACCACCACTACTGCCACGTTTCATTTTTAAATAATAAATACCAAAAAAAAAAAAAATCCTAAAGAAAAAACAAACAAGCCAACACGCGGAAACGATTTTCGATTTCAATATTATCATGAATCGCGTTTATTTTTATCATTTTCGAATCATCGGACCGGGGACGCAACACGATTCATCTATTTCCACGATAAAAAAAAAAAAAAAACCATCACACGCGAACGATATTTTCAAAGTTTGAAAATCGTTTTGCGATGACGCCACACGCACAAACACACGTCAATTGTTTCGCATAAATGAAAAAACAAAAAACTATCGCGAATCGAATTAAGGTGCCGCCACTCCCACCGCCACCGCCACCACCGCCGATAAATTCGTCATTTGAATAAATTCATTTTGGAATTCGTCCATCCAAACGTGAAAACTACTATCAACGTTTCCAGAAAATGATTTCACCGACACACTTATTATTATCATCATTATTATTTTTTTTTTCCAAAACGGAATGCAATCCGTTCGAATTTTTTGGACGTGACAATAAAATATTTACTTAGAATTTATTAAAAAAAAAAAAAATTTTTTTAAATTAATATTTATGAAGTTGAACGTCGGCCATGTTTTTTTTTTTCAAAAAAAAAAAAAAAAATCATTTAAATATTTCGTTTTGTTTTATTTTAAGTAAAAATTTTCATTATTATTATTATTATTATTTGTGTGTGTCGCGCGCGTTCGATGATGCATTTGTAAAAATAAAACATATTTAAATTTTTGTTATTGACACGTTCATCGTTCGAGTTTTTTTAAATAAAATTTCTCGTTGAAAAAAAATGAAAAAAAAAAGATCCCCATCGATTTTTTTCCCGCCCCCCTCCCCCGAGGAGAAGAGTGAAAGAGAAAGGGGGGCAAAACGAGGGGGGGGAAATTTCGGTTATTCAAAAATAAAATATATGTATGAATTTTTTTCGATTCGACATTATCAATAATAATAAAATAAATATAATTTTTTTTTTTTTAAATTAAAATTTAAAAAAAAAAATCGTTTTGCGCTAAATCGTATCACGCACATTTAATTTAATTAATTTTTTTTGCTAGCGTGTCGTGTAAACAATTTTTTTTTTTAAAAAAGTTTGCTTTTGCGCTTTTGCTATCGCGAAAAATTAAGAGGTGATAAAGATAATCCGTTTGTTTCCCCTTTCAATCCCTCCCTTCCCTGCCATCATTTCCCCTCTGCAAAAAAATTGTTCGATAGAGACACACAGACAAACTACTCTAAATTAAAAGAGATATTAAATAGAAAACTAAAAGAGTTAGAGTGAGAGAGAGAGAGAGATAGAGAATATTTTGAACTTACCTTCTTTGCATCGTTATTATTTTCACTATGATTCGGTTGCGGGGACATCACTGACCCATTGCTTACAGCTCCGGATTGTGACAATAATTCTTCGGAACCCCGCTGGAAAAAAAACAGAAAAAAACAAAAATTATTATTATAGAAAACAACAATCGTCAACAAACAAACACTACCACCAACAAACGAGAGGGAAGAAGATAAAAAAAAAAATTTTTTTTCCTGCCTTTTTCTGCCACATTTCTATTCATCATTTCTCTCGTAAAAACAATTACCATCATCATTATTATTATTATTTTTATTTTTAAATCCAGGATACGAGATATTTTTGTAGAAAAAATGACGGAACTCAATTGTTACACTATTATCATCATCGTCATCATCATGGTAATCGATTCGGTTCGCTCCAGCTGTTTTCCTTTTCTCTCATTCTCTCTCTCTCTCTTTCATTCCTTGTTCTTCAATCGTTTTAAGTAATAAAATACGATTTGACTTTTCTTTTTTTTTTTAAATAATAATTTTTAAACGGGACGAGAAAACGAAGAGAGAGAGAGAGAAAGGGGGGAAAGGAGAAAAAAACGAACAGGAACGTACGGACGGCCATATTTGACGGTGTTTAATACAAAAACGAATGTCGTCACAGCCTTTTCTTCATTTCATTTTTCGCATTTAATCTTCCACCAAATCGAGTCGAATGGCAACCACCTTTAATTAATCCATAAAATACTTAAGTGCACTTACCGGAGAAATTGCTCAAACGTGGCCGCCGCCGCCGCCACGGCCGCCCCCACCACCACCAACCAACTGCCGCCGCGCCATTTTTCTTTTTAAAAACTTAATTCAATTTTTTTTTTTTTTTTTTTTTTTTGTTTTATCCTTGAAACTTTTTTTATAATGTTATTAAATTGTTTTTTTTTTTTTTTTAAATTATTTTTCGTTGTTCTAAAATTTAGTAGGCACGCGGAGGTTGAGAGAAGGAAGGAGGAGGAGAAAAGAAAAGAAAAAAAGTAAATTACTATTGCGACAGGTTTAAACTCGTTTAAAGTCAAAAAAAAGAAAAAAAGCCGGAAAAAAGAAAATTAAAATAAAGAGGCCATCAAACGTAAAAAACGACGTCCGAACTAATTTTTTTTCCTTCTCTATTACATAAAAAAAAAAAAGAAGGAAGAAGAGTGAGAGAGAGAGAGAGAGAAAAGATCTAGGTAGCACGTTCCCAAGTCGTTAAAGACCACACCACATATTTACCTTTGGGTAAAGCACGAAAGAAAAAAAAAAGATTAATGATATTTATTAGGAACTAAATGGAAAATTTGATGAGGAACCCAAAATAAAAGAGGTAAAAAAAAAAAAAACGACTTTTATCTTTTTCGCAAAAGTTTTTTTTTTTTTTACTCGAGATAATTCGACAGGAAACGGACGGAAAATAAATCCCAAAGTAAATTATAAGAGAACGAAAGAGATGAAAAACTCCCATGGGGGGGACGGAAAAAAAAAAAAGCAAACAAACAAACAAAAAAAAAAAAAAAATAGAAAGAATGAAAGAGAAAAAAAAAAAAAAAGGAAAACAAATGAACGGTGAAAAATATATGTGAAGAAACACGCAAACCGGAAGTTTGAATCGAAAAAAAAAAACCTCGAAAGAAAAACAGGAAGAAAATGAAAAGACAAAAAAAAAAAAAAACAACCGTGATCGATTAAACAACGATTAATAGTAAAGAAAGAGATAGAAAGAGAGAGAGAGAGAAGCAGAGGGAAAGAGAGGAGTAAAGAAAAGAGAGACAGAGAGGCAGAGAAGAGAGAGAGAGAGAATGAAAATGAATGAATATTTTTACACGCTGAAAATGTTTTTTCGACCGCCATTAAATTATTATTATTATCTAAAAAAAAGGAAAAAAGGAAAAAAAGAAAAAAGAAAATTTTTGCGTTTTGACAAAGTTTTCTCAAACTATTAAACAAAAAGAAAACAAAATTTAATTAAAGCAAATAAAATAGAAAAGTGTTTGTTTGTGTTTGTGTGCGTGTGTGCGTGCATGCGACGACGACCCTTAACAGGGAGCAACAACAGCATCAGCAGCAGCAACAACATCAACAACAACAACAACGACAACAACACGCGGACGGGCCCGGCGCAGCAAAAAAAAACTTTCAAAAGAAAGCAATGAATGAATAAATTAATTAACGCGCAAAACTAAAAACTTTCTTTTCTTCTTAGGGAAAACCTTCGCGCGTGAAGAGTGTTTACTTTTTTTTTCCTTTCGCAAAGGTAAAAGAAAACCGGCAAAGGAATTAACGTGGGTGGAGAGAGCGGAGTGGGATGAAGTAGGAGGGAACAGGAGGAGGAGAAAAGAGAAAAACAAATTTAAATCGATAAATCAAAAAAAAAAATTTTTTTTTTTTTGTTTCTTTTTATTCATATAGGAAAGATTCTCAAATATTTCATTTCATTTTTTTTCCCCTCCCCCACTTTTGGTAGGCGAATAAAATTTTGACGTGGAAGAAAAAAAAAAACAACAACAACAAAACCGTAGAATAAAACGAATAAGAAAAAAAAAAAAAAGAAAAACCTTTCAATGAAGAGGAAAAAAAATTTCCCGGTCCGTTTTTTCTAAAAAAAAAAAAAAAAAATCCTGTCGATTATGTTAACTCACCCGTGATATTCTTTTAGGTGAAATACAAAAAGAGAGAGAGAGAGAGAGAGAAAAAAGAAATTTTTTTATTATATTTTTTTTTTTTTTGAATGCGGCGTGATGATGAAAAAGGAAAAAAGGAAAAATAAAGAAAAATAGAAAAACGTTACAACACGTAAAAGCTAGAAAGCTGTTGGCTTTTTTCTCTCTTTCCGATAAGGTAATTCATCCAGAAGTCCAAAAAAAAACCTGGAAAAATAAAATGGGAGGGGAGAGGATGGGGGAAGGGAGGAAGAGGAAGGAAAGATAAAAACTATCGAATCCAACACATACATACATAAAATGGCAAAATATTGAAAGAGAAAAAAAAAAAAAAATTTTCTTTTTGAAAACGAGTCGAAAAATGCATTATAATTCACATATACACAAAAAAAAAAAAAAAACATTGAAAACCGGACCTCGAGGGAATCGTAAAAACATCCAATTCTCCTTCCACGTCCAATCCTTTCTCCCTACCTCCCAACCTACCTATGCCAGTTTAAACTAACTCAAATCCTTTGTGAGAAAGAATCCTTTTTTTTTTTCCTATTTTTTCCTTTGAAATAACTCATTCGTGCCATTTGAAAAATATGGAAGTAAAACTTTTTTTTATTCTCATTCGGACTCGTACAAACATCATCCACCGCCTGCTTTTACGATAATAAAAACACGCGCGAAAATAAAATAAATAAAATTTCAAATTAAGATAATTGAAAACTAAAAAAACGCTAATGACACGTTAAACGATAAAAAAAATAAAAATTGTCAAAATTTACGCGTGCGAGTAACTCTAACCAACTTCCTCTCACTAATTTTTTTAACGAAATCATAGGGTAAATAAACGCGTCATAGAGTAATGTCGCTCCCGAATTTTCGTCACGTTAAATCGAAATATCAAGATGGCGGGTTAAAAGGTGCTCAACGTTTTTCTCTCTCTCTTTTATTTTCCAAAGAAAAAAAAAAAAAAAAACAAATTAATTTTTAAAATATTTTCATCACATTTTCATTTTTTTCCCCTTCAATTTCTTCCCATGGCGATTTCTTTCATTTCTTTCACTCTCTCTCACTCTCTCTTCCTCTTTTTCTTTCTCTTCTCTTTTTGTTTCATTTAATTTTGTTCTCTCGAAGAGAGAAGAGAGAAGAAAAAGAAAGAAAAAAAAAAAATTTTTTTTTTGGTTCATTAAAATTAAAAACATAAATTCTACCTTTAATTTAACTAATAATAATAATAATGATAATAATAATAATACCTCCACAAAATTATTAGAAAAATAAATAATAATAATAATAGTAGACCTTAAAAATTAATCTGGAAACTTTACTCTCCTCCACCATCACCACCCACTATCCCCTTCTTCTTCTTTTCTCTCTCTCCACTTCCCTTCCGAAAATATGATTTCCCCAACCGACATTTTTTTTCTCTCTCTCGTTTTTCCAGAAAAACAAAAAAAAAAAACGTTTTAAAGCATCAAAAAGAAAAAGAAACAAAAGAGAGAGAGAGAGAGAGAGAAAAGAAAAGAAAAGAAAAAAAGAGAAAAAAAATGGAAAACTTTTTTTTTTTCATGCCTCCTTTATTTTTCTTTTTTTTTTTATTTTCTTCACATTTTTTTTCCCCCCCATTTTCCTTTTCCATTCCTTTTTTTTTTTAACTTTCTATTCAAACTTTTTAAAATGGCGGCTTTTATTCTTATTTCAAAAAAAAAAAGCAGAAACAATGTTTTTTTTTTTTTTTGTGATTTTAATAAATTTCACGGTTATAATAATAATAATAATAAAAAAAACAATAATTATTTTTCATAAAACATTCATTAAAATAATTATTATCATCATCATCATCATTATTATTAATTTAAAAAAAAAAAAAAAAAAATAATAATAATAATAATACTTATGAAGGATGCATTTGTTTATTAATTCACGACTAATTAATGAAAACAAATCTTTTTTTTTTTTCCTTTTTTCCTATTTTTTCTTTTTTCTTTTTTTTTAATATTAATTTATTTTTGTTGTGATTTAACATTTATTATCTTCTGCCACGTTTCTTTTTTTTTTTTAATAAAATTAATTTATTAAAAACGCTCACGCGTAGTACAACGTCATAAAAAAAAAGAAAAACATGACGAGAAAATCTCTCGTTTATTTATTTTATTTCTGTCTCTCTCTCTCTCTCTTTTCACTTTCGTAGGTTTATAAAAAAAAAAAATCGAATTTCGATTACAATCGCGCGTGACGTCATCGTAATAAGTATAATAATAATGAGACAAAAATAATGACGTTTAGCATTAATTAATTAGGAAAATCGACATTTTTTATTTTTAAATATAAATTAAAGTTGACGGGTTTTACTCATGTTAAACAAATAGTTTGCTACGTTTTTTTATCTCT